GTTCTCGGCCATAGGTGTGGGACGCATAGACGAGATTTCTGAGGAATTTAACACGTTCCACATCGTGATGATGCCTGGGACCAAGATCAGGGCCAAGCAACGGGCCCATCATCACTACGATAAAGGTCATCGACACTGGTTTCTACACTTCGGGTGGGATCGAGGGAGCATGACAAACTCATCATGTGGATGCAGCATTGGGTTTCGGAATTCCAGGTTCCGCACTCAGGACATCACTCGTATCACTACGCCTCCAGCAGAACTCCAAGGACGGGGCGGATGCGCCGACCTCATGCAGGGGAGTCTTCGGTTACGACTTATAGTGGCCTACTTCCCCCCACATCCCGCACAAAGTACCCCAGCTGCCGTACGCCACTGGAAACTCAGCTTTGTCAGGCTCTGGGAGTGGGTCCTTCGGGAAGCATCCTCAGCACCATCGCGCATGGTCCCTATCATTTTCACGGACCTTAACCAGCCCCTCGGCCGCGTGCACCGTGCCCCTGCCCACGACCAGAGTATAGGACCACGCCAGGCTGGCGCCGAGTCTGAGCTCGGCCAACGTGTTCATCGCAACCTATGTGAATCTGAGTTTGCGTCTCCCAACACCTTCTACGACCTCGGCTTTAGCTTCTTTGGGAACCGAGAGTCCCGCTCGCGTATTGATTATTTTTTCTGTCCACAAGCTCTTTTACCCTTGGTTCGTCGCATGTATATGTGTTGGCGCTCACACCGACGACTGCATTACCTTCCACACATGCTTGATCACATACCTATGGGCATGGAGGTCACAGTCTCGGCACCCCCTTCACCTCAAGATCGGGGCTATTGCGTTTGGGATTGGGGTCTCTTGGCCGCAGGCCTCGAAGTTGGTCACAGGCGTCGGGAATTTCTTCAGGACCTCCACGCGTCCCTGAGCCAGGTGCGCCCCCTCCTCGAAACGATTCTCACCGACCAGGACCCTAGCCGCCACAACGCGGTGCTCGCATATCTCATTCGGCAGAGTGCAGCAAAGTTTTACTCCAAAGATCATGCGACCCCCCAGTGGGTCAAGGACGACAGAAAACATCGACTTACTCTTTTGCGTGAGCGGGCTGATCTTCGACAGCAGGGTCTCTCTCCCGAATCCAGCGAGCTCAAGATCATATCCCAGAAGATTAAGAAGTTCGAAAGGTTCAAAAATGCGTGGTGGAGACACAGCATAGAACAGGAGTTGCGCATGGCGTGGGCACGGCGCGAGACAGCACGAGTAGCAGAACTGGCACGCTTACGCGCAGGCACGCGTACCGGTGTACGCAAGCGCTCGTACCTCGCCCTCCCCTCGGCTCGCCCTCTGGCGTCATCCTTCCTTGGTGCTCTCTCTCGGCCTGGAGTGGAGGGAGGGCTTACTGCGTCAGAGGTCTTCGACAGTATCTGGACAGAGGATTGTTCGGCAGTCCAAAGCCTACTAGCTCGCCCTCCAGATCAGGTCTTCCCTATTGGCGTATGTTGTGAGGAGCCCTCGAGTGACGACATTACCCAGGCACTTGATGATTTAAGATTTATGCATGCACGTTTGTTTCGTCAACGTCATCGTCGGTGCAGTCCCCCCTGGTCGTGGCCATCCGAAGTGAGTATCATGATCATGAACCCACGTCACCTTAGTCGGCCTGGCTTGCCTGGCGCAGGTGTCGGCCATGACGACGCCGATTACCCTTTCGGTCTCGGTTGGGAGCCACAGAGAGCACGTGTTCCACGACCCGACAAACGTCGCTTAGGAGGCTTCAGTAACGAGGTCATGGCTGAGGGCCCTGCTGCACTGGCTTCCCTACTAGCTCACGTTCGGTGCTCTCGGCGGTTACGTCGGCAAGCTTACACCAGCCACGGCATTATGATTTCAAAAAAGAACAAACAGCCGACGGGGGACCCTATCAAAGACATTAACTCGTGCCTCAGGATGATTCATTGTTTCTGCCCATGGTGGCGACTTTATTTGCGAGTAGGAGTACTTGATTATGGATACGCGTGTGTATTTCCTGACTGGGCCTATGGGGGTATACGTAACAGACGACGTGAGGCCTTGATGAGCATCGTTAAGATACTAGAATGGAAATTACGCACATGTAAATTATCATATCTAATCAAGTCTTACGACATGCGGAACGCTTTCGGCACCGGTTTCACATCCAAGTTGATCGAGAATTCTGATTGGCGATGCGAGTCTCGACACTTTCGGCAGATGCTGGCCATGCACCGCGAGAAGGCGGTGATTCACGTTGACGCGGCGGACCGTAGTATCTGCCTTCGACCCGCGTCAGGAGGGAGGATGGGGGATTCCAATGAGCCCGAGTTCTTCATGGGTAACTTCTACGGCCCCGTTATTAGGTGGAAGCTCCAGATGAAAGACCTCACAGGGCCCCTCCTCCAGGCCACCTGCCCCATCACTCAGAAGCCCCAGGACCTTTCCCTCGGCGCCTTCATCGACGACCTTACAAAAATCATGATTGTTCCAGATGGTTCTTATCGTCAGGCCCTCACCCTCGATTTGATTGATAACAACACCCTCAACGATGAGCTCGAGCACGACGGATATGCCCAAAACGTAGCGAAGCAGGACACAATCATCAGGCTAGCCACTACGCAAGCTACGAAGCAAGCCGAGCAACATATCAGCGGAAATGCCGTCACTAACTTAATTCATCTGGGAGGGTATGTTAACGTGGGAGGGTCTAACGCCAGGGAGGTCACGGAGCGCATGCGGTCCTGCAACATAGGTTGGAGCATGCTCTCTCGCTTTCTTACCTCACCCGCCCCCATCATGAGCAAGCGGATGACGTTCATCGCCAACGTCGCTGGTCGTGCCTGGTCGGGTCTTGAATCTTATTGTTTGCTAGCAGGTGAGACGGCCCGCATTGATCGGAGTCTGGCCAAGAAAATGAGGGCCATGGCTATGGGGCGCGCACACCAGGAGTCCGAGGAGGGCAGGCACCAGTCTTGGACAACGCGTCAGGTATTCGAACACTGGTCAATGGCTCCTACATCGATTGAACTCCTCGTGCGCCGCCTCTCCTGGTGGCAACAGATCGTCACGGAGCCTAATCATCACTCGCATTTCTTAGCAGCTTTCTTCGGCCAGTGCACCTTCGAGCTGACAGTCGGCCAGGGACAGGTGGCCCCCTCGATCGCGGACAACGGTACATTGAGTACTGCTCCCTCCACGCATCCATGGCTCAGGCAGTTACGAGACGATCTTGCATGTCTGCTTGAACACCCCGCGGGAGAGAGGTTGAAGGTCGAGTGGGGCCCCCCCCTGGTCCGAGACTTGTTTCACAATCATAATGTATCCGATGCTTTTCGAGCTTGCGA